TAAAACCAAACAAAAACCAGAATTTTCTCAATGATAAAAATAGGAATAGGGATAGAATGAAGTATTCTTTTTGAATTTTTATACAAAGAAATGTTTCTTATTTTTTGTTCGTTCTTCAGTAAAGAATTTAACATTGAAATATTGAATTAACATGACTATGTTGCATAAGCTTAAGTAGAATTAATGACTCTTATTTAAACTTTGTTTAATTATTATGATAAGCAATAATTTTTATTGAAGCACAAAATGAAGTATTGAAATATAAAAATTACCCAAAAACTACCCTCTCAATAATGCTCAATTCAAGACAATATACAGGGTGACTGGTGAATTACTATCGATACTTGAGGACGTGATATTTGACGATCATATATGACAAAATAAAAATTAATATAACATAAATATTAATAAACTTCTAAGTAAAGTTAACCAAAAGTTATGTAATTAATTACGCATCGTGTGAACACCCTACAGATTAGGTATACACACACACTCACACATACGCGTGCGGCGGCGTGGTGTTGTATCAGCACGCCGCCGCACGCTTCCACACTTGGAACACTTGGAACGTGTCAACACTTTATTTATTTATACGGAAATTTTGTCAAAAATTAAGTGCCTATTTTTTTTACATAATTCGAATGAGAATCATGTACCGAGTATTCTCCTTAAATATTGATAGTAATTCACCAGTCACCATGTATATTGTTTCGGAAAACTTAAAATCATATACTCATAATTAAAAAATAAATTAACTAGTGGTACTATTTATAATCATCTCCGTGTCTTTAATAATAATTCTAAAATTCATTTTTTACTACTTTTTTTTTTAAACCTGAGGACTGCTACTTCAGCGGTTTATAATTATTACCTAGGTTCAGCTGTGGACAGATTATAGCTGAATGAAGCTGTAATCTGTCCACAGAAGCTGATAATGAAGGAAAAAGAGACAATGCCATCAAGTTCTAATAATGATTTTCTTTCTTTTCTCTTATTAGTCTATTTTTATAAGTGAGACGTTAAAAACGGTTTGCCTCATTAAATAAATAAATATAAAGATCTTAAGTCGTAAAAAGAAAGTTTTCACATCTAATAGCCTTTCATGTCTAAAATCTGGGTACATTTAAAAAAGCAATTACGGCACGCACGCACGCTACGTACGCACGATTTTCATAGTCTTCAAATCAAAGTTTCTACGCACGAATACTAGACTCACGATATTGTTTTTATGTTACTAATAATTAATAAATAATAAACGTAAACTGTTTGTTTTTATGTTAGAAATAATGGAATAATTTTCTTCATCACATTAAGATATTTCGAAAGTATGTGGTTTTTATTTTTAATTCTTATTTATTTTTATGCTATAGCACCGTTCGCAATGGAATGGTGGAATATACATCATAATAATTTACCATAATATATTCATCATTATCATCAGCCTATCAGAGCCCACTGATGAGCAAAGGCCTTTTCTCACATGGAGAAGGTTAGAACATAAATCATCACGCTTGATCAAGACGGGTTGACGATTTTAGACTAATAATTGGAAATTATAAGTTCAGGTTCCCTCTTGATGCTTCCCTTTACCGTCTGTTGGTAGTGTTTAAATACTCTTAGAAAGTAATATGACTCGGAAAAATCACATCGGTACTTGCCAGGTTTCGAACCTGCGCCTTCATGCACAAGAAACAGGCCTTCAACCTCTAGGCCACCTCGACTCTATATATATTTTGCTATATTTTGCTATATTTTGCCAATGTCATCCTTTTTTTTAAATGAGCGGTGAGTAATGTGATGAATATAAGCTTTAATCAACGTTATTTCACAATCAAGATGACGTCCCGGGTATAAGCTGGTATGGATAATGCTTTAACATATCAAATGAGTACGATCTATCACCTAAGTGGCTATTAATAACGGAAATATTCTCCGAGCTTCCTGGATTATCTCGACTAGCGGCGTCGGGGATACGCTCAAAGGGACGTAATTAATTATGAAGATTTATTATTTGTTCACAAAAACTATGATTAATTGTTTGTTACTTGTTCATGTTATGGTATTTACAGCTGTTCTTGTTATTTATTTATTAAAAAGAACATCTAAAACTAAATAATAAGGACGATTATATACGGAAAATGACGTAACGTTTTTTTAGTTATTTTTTCATAGGAGGAAACTGATACTTAAAAAATCATTTAAATTGTTTTTTCGGGTGAACTTTGCTTTTGTAATTATATACTTCAAGAAATGTTTTCACTACATTACAGTAACCGTGATCACGGAAAGTAAGTGTAATATAAGTTTGTAGTGATTTAAGTACAAAGCCAAAACTGCAACAACTATAACAGTCTCAATCTACAACTACAACTATTTTCACTATCACTTCAATGTCTGTCTTAGCTACTATATTATAGTATATTATTCATCCCCTTAGTTTAGATAAGTTTATTATTTTATATTGCTGTTAAATTACAAAAGAAACTAAGCGCAATATTTCACGTACATCTTTATCAAACAATAATTAACACTATACAGTGCGTAGGGTAATAAAAATGGATATAATTCAGTCGTAGTAGCGTTTTCATTTGATGTAAAACAAAAGTAACCTATAATTTACTTCAACCTAAAGCCTACAAACACGACGGAACTTATAATTAGCACAAGTAGACTCGAATAAATTAACGAGCAGCTATTTGACAAATATAAGCAGAGCTCTCAGAGAATACGTTCCATTTAACTTTCAGTCGTAAATTACTTTTAACTTTATCGTTATTTACCTCGATAGTGCCTTGAAACAGGAAAGTGCTGCTTATCACTTAATTTAAGTTATTTAAGCCAGAACGCTATGTGCGAGTGGCGCACTTAATAAGCAAAAGGCTATCGAAATGATCCCATATTTATCTGCCTACCAACCATACAGATCACAATCGTTTTTTTCATTAATATTAAATAGTTGCAATCAATATTATATTCAAAGAAGATGACTTGAACTTACAAAATATCACAAAACATTTTTATATATTTTTATAAACTAGTCGTAAATAAGAGAGTGTGCATAGTTTTTGTATAAAAATAAATTCATCTCAATATTAAACAGATGCCTCAAATTCTATCAGTATTTCAAATTGTACCAATACCTTATGTAAGTATGACCTAGTTTCATAGTCGGTATAACTAAAGTGCGTGTTAAGCATCATTGAAAACGAAGAAGTTTATCATTTCAAAAATCACTAACGAACATTCTCAGATTATTTTAATAATATTTCCATTTTTTCTATTTACATATAATTAGCTGTTATTTTATCGATTAGAGGTATATGTGTTGTGCTCCTAACAATGCAACTTCTTAGTTATAAAATTGGACGTATTGGGATCTACGATGAAAGATTTTTTAAGTCAGATATACGAGTAAACAAAGAAAGTCTTTCGAAATTAAATCTTTAACTTAATTTCACATTTTTTGATCAAACAAAACTATGTTTGACTGCGATTTCAATTTATAAGTAAAATCTATTTTGTTTTGTTCAATAAAAAAACATAAAATGGTATTCATCATTCTTAATTTGTTACTAGCAAGTTGTTATATATCATTAATCTTTTAATATATTTATTTTAGTTATATGTTATAATATAAGTCATAATGACACTCAATATATTACCAAAAAGAGATAGCACCGTTCCGACAAAAATACAAGTACCAGTGAGACCTCCTTTAATTATTTTTTTTGTGTTTAATTTTTTAGAAGTTGCAGTTTTTTTAGATATATGCAATAAAGAAACTGACTGATCCTAGCGATATATTTTTTTAATTATTAAAGAATTCCAAGGTTCATTATTTATTTTGTAATTCGAGTTCATTAGATTAATTATTATTTATCAGTTTGTACATTTTTTCTAGCTACAGTATAATTTGCTTCAAAAAGCAATTCTAAAAAACAAGAATTTTGAACCTGCTAGTTACCTACATTTTAAAGTCTGAACATAATTGCAACGCTTCTATATCCCATAGCAACATATTAAATACCTTATATAAATTTTTGCCTGTAATATATGGTTGAAAAAACCATACTTTGTAAATCTGCTAGCCAGTATAAAATGTAAATATTTTATAGTTCTGATATATACATATGTCTTTATGATACTCTTAGATTTCTTTTACCCAATATGTTTCATATATGACTCCATTCACCTATAGATAAGAGTTGTTCTCTACTATTACGGCCACTGAGTCCGAGGTGCACTAAGCCTATATAGAAGGTAGCCAATATCGTTGTCCAGGTCTCCATATATCTACATATATGCCAAAATTCTCCAAAATCAGTTCAGTGGTGTAAGGGTGAAAAAGTTGCAGACAGACAGACAGACAGAGTTACTTTCTCAATTATAATAATAGTAGGATATTTTGTAAATATTCTTAGGTGAAATATGGAATGGGATCAAAACGTTATCCTAACTTTCAGACGCTTTCAATAGTGTTTCTAAATCTTTCTATCGACTTTCTCTAGTTTAATAGCCTTTACGTTGGGCTTAAAAGTAAACCAACTAACAAATAACAATATATTAAATTCCAATGGCTATAAAGTTTTGGCTTTCAGACTACAGTCATTACTATATATGGTATGGTATTCGCTAAGGAATGTAAAAGGTTTCTTGCACTCTAGAATAATTTTGCAGGCGATTGGGTTTTTTTTATTGAAGATTGTCTGTTTTACAGCGATAGATATCTTATTAATATGTAATTAAATATATAGTTATTACATATATTTGTTAAATATATGTATTTGTGAACAAGGTATCTATGAAGAAGGAAGCCACCACTTATATACGTATATTACCAATATTGTTTGTATATATATACATATGATGCGAAACCTTTCAGCATTACATTACATTTGCAATCAATCTTATTTTATAAACATGTTAATTACATCCAAAATATTTAAATATGATTTTGTGATTTATGCTTTCGATATTTTATTATTAGACATTTTATATCGTTAACGTCCATTTTCCTCAGGTCTATATTTACGTTTCCTTTTCTTTTTCTTTAGGCTGACATCTAATTTGTACATAATTCTTAAAATATCTTTTATGTCTATATCCAGTCTAACTACTTTCTCGTATATTTTTAAAAAGGTGTAAAATTCCAGGTATATATCCTGATATGTCTTTAAATTGGTCCAAAGTTTCATCTGTTGCGCCTTCAAAGTTCGTAGTAAAGAGAAACAGTATCCCAGTTGATACTTCGGATGATGTTTATACTTATTTCTAATTACTTGCATGAATGGTAGCATGTAATGAGTTTCATAAACAAACTGCTCCATCAAAGCGATTGTTTTTTTCTTTTCGCGAATTGATACACGTTTTTCCACGTCGTCAAAATACAGTTCTCTCAGCGCTTCGGGTTCTTCACGAGTTGAGTTAACAATTGCATTGAATCTCCTCGTTTGTATTGTTATTTCATCTTCTTTGTCCCCAAAATTTGGTTTAGCATTTATATTATCTTCTAACAGTTCCTGTAGCTGTATTCGGCGTCTTCTGATAATAAATTTTTCTAACGTCATATTATCAACATTCTGCGTAGTTCTTTTTTCGGGAATTGTTTTGGTGGTTTTAAATGTCATTTTGGTTGTTTGGATAAAGTTTAATAAAGAAGTTTCAGGAATATTTAAAAATCTTCCTATTTTACCTCTATATACGCCTTGCAACAATCCCTTTATCATGTCGTCAGGCTGTATGCCAAAAATATCTTTTAATTCCACTTTTGACAGAAATAAACCTTAAAAACAAACTATTGCATGAATATTGTATGAAATGAAAAATATAATATGAATGGATTGTATGAATATGATTGTGTTTTTATCATGAAATGAAGTTAGCTTTCGTTTTGATTTAGTTATATGTTGTCTCATAGTATCTGTAGTACTGTAGCCAGATTATTCTCCGAGTAATAAATTCCTTGTATATAATATCTTTAGGATAATTTAAAAACTTTTCATTTAAAATGGTACAAGGATTAGACTACACTAAAGAATTTATTTATACTTCTTTTGAATATTTTTTGTTTTAAAATATATTTAAAATAAAATGAATCAACAATAACTTACACATTAATAGCACATTATAAAAAAAATTCGTATTCATTGTAAATGCATCAAAAAATTTGATAACTTGAATACATATTCAGCATATTACTTGCGAAAATTTAAAATTATTACACCCATTTCATTGCTATAAAGGATAATTAATTTGATTTTTATTACATGAGTAGTAATTAAGAATTATACTGTGTATACATGTTGCAACAAAAAAATGCACTGTGATTATTTTTAATAATAAAGTGTTCAATGTTACAAGGAATAACGTTAGAAAAATATATAAATAAAAATGTATAAATGTAAAAATTATAATAAAAATAATTCAAGGTCCTCGTAAACTTATTTTCATTACAAAAAATGAGTTTTATTTTTTGTTCCATTTTCACCCTAAACCTTAAGAGTCTATGAGTTGTATGCTAACATCTACAATTAATCATGATATCAAAAGATCTACATTTTAGGTCACATAACATAATTAATAACTGGTTCACATACTGACATCTAAGATTTTCTCGAGTATTCATCTAAATAAAACTAAGATTCTCGAAAAATAATAAACAATTTGTATTTTTTTAATTACATAATCCCGTAGTTCCGGTTCCTATATCTGTATTAATATTATCCGAAAACCTTAATTTCGTTTAAAATTAAAAACTTACGTCAGATCCTATAGGAATGTATTTTCAGAAATTAATTTAGACATTTCAAAACTGACAAACTCATAAAGCAATCGAAACATTTAACATACAAGCGCAGTTTTTTAAATTCACGAGGTTTTTTTTATTTGTATAAATATTCACTCATCTGCATATCGTTAGTGAAAAGTTTACATGACAATACAATAAAAAAAAATTTATAACATTACACCTTTTTTTATTAATTTTACTAGGAATAGCACACAAAAACTTTAAAGAGTCTTAAACAAAAGTAAATTTCGTCCTAATATTGATTGTAACCTATATTTCTGAACACTTCAAAAACTAACTAGAACTAAGAATAGTAACACAAAGAACTCAAATGATTGTGAGATTGAATTACATAACAGTTGTATATCAGATGACAATTTTTAAACCTTTATACAAATTAAATAAGGAATTTAGTGATAGATAAAACTTTGGTATAATAAACCGGAACGTTTTCTGACTGAAGCTAAAACATGAAGCAGTGATGCTAATTCCGAACGAGCACAAATCGATTTCAGGTCACCGACACGTATGACGTCACGTCGGAAAACTCGGTTAACACTGAATAAAATAGCGGGGAGTGGAAAAACGGACGAAATAAAAAAGTATGGCACGGCGAATACAGAATGAGATTGCATTACGTACTCTATCTTGGAATGGTATCTTATATGCTACTCTAGGACTTGGGAAAAAACATGTGATGTTTGGTTTTATAAATCTTTGTTCTTTTTGGAGTTTTCTGACTCCATTCCTTCGATTGATTTGTTTTGAAATAATTACGTAACACCTTATACATAAAATTTTCGTGTCGCGGTGTTAGACAGAGAACTCCTCCGAAACGGCTGGACCGATTTTGATGAAATTTTGATGAAATCTATTTTTCATACTCCTAAGTCATAAGGGTTGTTCACCTTCAATTATATTTTTTTTTAATTTTCAGACGAAATTTTTGGTTTCTATTTTTTTATAATGTAGCATTAAAAATACATACAAAGCAAAATTTTACTCTTTTAGCACCAACCTCTATTTTTTACAACGCAAAACAACGTTTGCCGGGTCAGCTAGTTTTTAATAATGTTTTGATTTCGTAACAAAAAAATGGTGACACCTAATAGACGTAGCTGATACATATTTTAAAGAAGCAAACTATTTTGAATGTTATCTTAGTATTATAAATGTAAATATCGAAATAACTTCACTGTTGATACAAAATATTCATTTTTAAAAGGTTCGTGGTATAGCTCAAAGAACATTGCATTTATATTTCAATTTCGTATCTCAAACCTCAAAACGAGTTGTGTTTTATTTTAACTACGCTCCCATTTCTTTCATAGTAATATTTTTACATATTTTTTTTTATTTTTCATTACAAAATCAGTTTAATTTATTTTAGACGGTACATATCTTTCTTATAATAAATTAGCACAAACTTTTCTTATAAAATCAGACAATTAAGACTGTGCTACACAAAATGCTTTTTCAATAAATAAAAGAAATCAAGCCTTTAAACTACATTGTATTAAATTTTTTTATCATTTTTGATAGATGATGCTTTCTAAATGTTATACTAATTACTAACAACAAGAAATAGATTATTAAAATATCTTATAAAAGTTACAAATTAAACTATACAAATTTGTAATTTGGTAAATATATTTCTTTTTTAATTTTATTTATGTTAAGGGCTCTAAATTAACAGAATTTGAATAAAAAATGCTTAAAACTTAAGATACAATTTATCTGTACTTTGCATATGCTCTTCCATTAAACTTCACAAATAGTAAAATATTAAAAGTTTTTATATATTAAAAGTATATTAAAAGTTAAGTTTTCGTTTTGACATATAATTCTATCGCGTTTGTAACAGCTAGGAGTGGAAGTCGAACCTAACTCGTATCAGTCATGTCACATTATTTGGCTCGAGAATTATAGGAGTCATTAATCATGGTAAGGGCAAGTGGGGGAGCGTCAAAGAATATACTCGTACATTTTACAGCTTGTTGGAAAGTTTAGCGATATTAACAGTAGGTATTGGCTTTTACCAACTATTATATCTCACTTATAAAATTAGTAAGATGAATAAATACACGGTTTTGCACCGACACACACATACACGCTCATATATGTATATGTTTTAATAAATATCTCAGAATGAATTAGGTTACAAGGGACATTTTTTAAACACAATTTTTTTAAATTTGGGAAATCAACTCTCAATTGTGGTTTCAAAATTGTAACTTTTTCTTTCTAGAACGCAAAACAAATATATACGCCTTAAGAAAGTATATAATGGTTGATGAATTTTTTTTATAGCAACATTATTGAATGAAATACTTTTAGAATTATTTTACAAAGTTATTGTTTTGTGTAAAAGCAAATTGTAATCAATATTCCAATACAAATATAAATAAACAATAAATTATTTACGGTTCAAAACTTTAATGATTAATTATTATTAGACCCCTGTCGAAACCCCAAATGGTAAAAACAATTTTAACTAGCTAGCAACATTTTGGAATTGGCGGGAAATTAAATGTCACCGTAACAAATATGTACCCCCTTTTTGTGTTGCCAACTAACTTATTCTATGTTTTTTATCCCGTTATATAAATTATCCTTGGTATAATTCATTATTCCTCTTAGATATGAATAATGGAAGACGGCATTACAACACGATGAAAGTTTACTAAAAGTGGGTTAGAACTTTGATGAATTGCTCAATGCAGACTTGTTCTTACTTTGAACGTTCTCACCTTCCTTTAAAACAAATTGTAAAGTTGAAATAAGAATGAATCATTAGTGTAGTATTTTGAACACTCGTATTTATCTTCTAGATTTTGTGGACAGGTAGAACACAGTTAATTAAACCTATATTTTCCGAGTCACCTTTGTTAATTTGGGTTAAATTTTGTTTAATTTGCAGTAACCGTGTTCAAAGGTTGACAAGATCAAAGTGTCTAAATGTCGGGCTCGCAATAAAACAAACCAAAGTCGCCATATAATTTAGATTTTTTACCGATTGAATTAGATTAATTTGTTTCAAAAATGATTTGATATTATTCTACTTGTAAATGATTCTTGTTATAAAGTTTGTATGAATGTGTCTGTTCATTAACAAATAATAATCAATCTAGATGAAATTTTTCATACATTTGTACAATTGTTATGCAGGAATATACTCGAATAAAATATGTTAAGACTAATTCATTTTTAAACTTTAAGAAACGTTACAAGGTAATAAAAACCTGCCAGCAAAAATCGCAGGCAAATTATATTATTATTTAATTAAGATATATAAGCCTTAATAATCGAAACCTCCAGAGAATAGATTTTTTTGGGGAAGACGAAAATTACACCAAATCTTTTATTAGAGTTATGACCATCATTCATCGAAATTTTAGGTCTCCCGGGGATTTGACGATAATAATGAACTAAGAAAGATTGTAAAAAAATATTCCCCGCTTAATAAAAATTTCCCACATTTCAACATTTACTCTGAAATATTTAAATGTGATTTTTATTATTTCATTTCAAACTTTTATTCCATCGAATCTTGTGCAAGAAAATTTCTAAAGGTAGTAGAAAACCATATTAAATCTCATTTACATGAAGAAGATATTAAAATTGTACATATTTTGTAAAAGATTTTTTGAAGATAATAATTTAAATTTTGAAGAAAAAATTGTAAAATTGATCTCATTATTATACGATTATCAAGAACAACATATAAAATAAATTATAATATTTAGGGGTCTTAATCCCAAACATACTCATATACAGGTCATTCCCTTTTACAAACTAGTATAAAATGTATTGTTGTAAAATAGCATTACTACAACAAAAGTCAAAGCTTAAGATTTCGATCTCCTGAAACTTATTTCAAATTTAACACATTACATCAAAGCGTTTGTATTCCACAATCTTGTGAGACAATATATCTGATACGTTATTCAGTTTCCGTCCATTGTTCCTCTAAGAATTGTATCGTGTGATCGACAAAGATTTATCACCTCAAGATTTTGACATCCAGACATTTTGACATTACGCGGAAATTGGTCCTCGATCCGCTTTGGGGCCTCCATTTCCTGTATCGTTAACATCGGTGTTTCCGTGACCTGATATAGTTTAGGCTTTGACCTCGAGGGTTCAACGATTTCACATCACCCATAGTTGTGTAATTGATATTATATTACGAGAGCTAAGACGTTCGCGAGTACTCACTTAAATGAAACTTATATTTTTCGGATACACTACGCGTGCTTTATTTTTATAAAAAACTACATACTCCCGACGTTTCGGTTACTTTTCTTTAACCGTGATCACAGGCACATCTTATCTTTTCAAAAATAATCTATTCCTTATATATAATTAAAATGTAATGCAGAATAAAAAAGCTATTATATGTAGTATATGTCTGTTTCTTTTGAGCGTTAAGAAATTTACAAGTTTTATAATTTCTGTTTTACTACAATGCTCGTTGGCATTTAAGATGGCTTCATCTCTCCTGAGGACTGAAACAAGAAATAAATCTCGACAACGTGTTTTACAACCATTTGTTCAGACTGAAAGAACAATTGTGAGATTTTTATGCCTTTTTAAATAAGATGCTTATTTTAATTGTCTGAAAGTAAACACTTTATATAAAAAAACTGAATTACCAAAGAAGGAAAAATTGCATGTTTTTCAATTGAATATATTAAACTGTTAAAAAATCATATTTGAAAGAATAAATTCTCTTTATTAGTTATACAAGGATCAAAGACGTGACAATATCACTTGATATTAAAGTATTTTTTTGTTCAATTGATCAGATTCGATTTTATTGTAGTTGACGATAAGTCTTTCGTTTTCTTACCAAACTCGATAACTATAATCTACAGTTGGAAACCAATAAAAGTCAAATTACTCCTCATTACCAAAGTGTTTTTATGCGTCCATGATTCACTTTTAATACTCTGTTTTTAACTTGGAAGAAAACTTTAATACATTCGTCATTTTTACAATCTTAATGTCTCTGAAGTTGCTCAAATGAGCTATATCTACATTGAAGGGCTCTTAGGAGCCGTCCAAAGTAATAATTCGTGATAACAAGAATACTTCTCCTCGAGTATCTTACACTTGATCAAGAACACTCACACTAACAATTTCTTAAGATAAGAGCTTTGAGAATGACCTTTTATACATTTCATCAATTTAAATGTTGAAAGCGTAATTATGTATTCAAATTTATTTTTTCTCTTTCAGTTCATCTCCAAGTGAACCAACCGACGTTAAGGGACTACGTTCTTTACTCGATAGTTGGTAACTTCATCCGAGGTAACTTCACTCCGACCAGCTTCTCTGAGAGACCCTGCAGGGATGAAGAGCCTCTCCCCTACTTCAAGCCCAAACATGCGAGAGCCGTGCGTTCGAAGCACTCGAAGACCAAATGGCATGATGATAGTGACAGTTATAGGACGAGGGGTGACAGTGATTTTGATGGTTACTATTTTAGACCAAAATTTCTATCGCGAGTGGAACGTTCGGTTTACAAGTTCGGCAAAATGAGATACAGGTTCCTACCGTCGGCAATCGTGAGCGGGCCATTACGAGACAGGAGGTCTCTAACGTTGCAATGGTCTCTGAATGATGCTTCACATTTAGAGAGAAAAGAAACTAGTGTCGTCTTTAGGTAAGTTCTATAGAATTCATTTCCAACTCCGTTAATGTTCTGTTTAATAAGTTATGTTCAATAACTTCAAGAAATTTCACTAATTATATTGGTTAGATAGAGAGTGTAAGTGAACGTTTAACGCACGTAAGATAAGGGCCTCTCAAACCTACACCTGGGTCGCAAGTCCCAGGCACTGTTGAAGCTCCTCTATCTGGAACGATGGACTCGGCACCCGCACCGTGAATGCATTGAATTCCCAGAGGTTTTGTATCTTAAGTTCAAGACGTTTCGAAGGTTTAATTTTATATTTGAATCAAAATAATCGTGTATTAATGATTACTCCGATACTCTGATGATCATAAATTATAATGACATGCTACATACTATAAAAAAAACCGTATAATTATGATATTAAAAGAAATATTTAATAAACATAAGTAAACAAAATAAATTTTACGTTCATTGTGTTGCAAAATTTCGTGAAATAGTAACATTAGTGAAGTAGTAAACATGTCATGATATACCATCATTTATATTCAGAACACGTTACAGACTTGTCCCAGAACAGCCATGCATAACATTATAATATACGTACGTAGTCAGAAACTTACTACTTATTACTTTAAAAATTTACTACCCACCACAAACAACTTTCACACATTATAAGTACTTTACTACATAATGTAATTTGTTATTTAGTCTCACATACATCTCCTTCTTCTTCCTGGCAATTTCCCAGCTTTAGCCAGGGTCTGCCTAGTCTCGCATACATATAAGGATACATGTATAATCTTATATTAATCATTCAGATATCCGTTGCTAAGGGCATGAATGCATTAAACCTATTCACATGCAAAAGTAGTAGAAGACATGATGAAGATAAATCACGTGTGACCTGGTATCAGATAGAAATATCGAGCGATTAAAAATTGATTAAGACACATCTCTTCCAGAACCCTGAAGTTACTTAGAGGATACTAGTGTTTAATAGCACTACTAGTTATACTTGATTTGATACGTATGATACATTGAAATTTATTATCTTATAAAAATATATATAGTATTATTTTAATTATAAATCTATAACAAATAGGTTTTAATAGTTTTTTTATTTTATTCACATGTATATGTACATATAAATTTTTACGAATGATCTGAACAATTATACGGCAGCATCTTAATTGCATTTTTTTGCAAAAGGTACAAGAGCAGTTTAATTTATAAATACCTATATATAATTTACAATTAGGACTGTACATTAATTTAATTTTCTCTAAAGAAATGTCTTTAGTCATTATTGACTTTATACAGAATATAAGTTGTTCAAAAGCAATTTCTCTTTTCCACCTACATTTCAGCGTCAGCATTTGGTACTTAACACCATTGATGTATAAGGTTATTCCTCGGTTATGGTTGCATAACACGAGCAACTGATGTTTTTACTTCATAGAGATGAATATCTCGTTTAAATAAACATAAACATGATATTTCCCTAACAATATTGTTATAGTAATATGTCTTCATACAAATACATATATTGAATAAACATTTCGTTTTATTTTGATTAACTTTTTTAATCGTCGATTAAACATTCCACGAGTTATATTCGTTACAACTTTTATCCTATAGACTTCCACTAAAAGCGGATAATCCTCTGTTGCAGCGTTCAATATTGATTCTTTTATCTCACCATGTTCGTGGTTTAAATAAAACACAAATTAAGTAATTTGCTTGTAGAATATTTTACTTAAATTAAATGAATTATTTCGTAATCACCTAATCCACCAATAACCAAACGATGTAAATAATATAATCATTCTAACTCAGGATTTAGACTTAGTCAGTTTCTCTCATAAAACACCAGGTTACTGATATGAGCATATTCGCAATTATTCTTTAACCTAGTCATGACCTTAGCAATCAAGAGATTCTATATTAAACAAGAGAAAATTTATGCAAAAGAAGTTTACAATACTAGTTTAAAATCTTTTAATTAAAATACGATAGCTTTAAGCTTCGTATGTCATTAAATGTAGCACTCGAGAAATAAGTTCAGCAAAACTTAATCTGTCTCCGATCAGTCTTTACAAAGAGTATCGGAAACTAATTTAGTTAGTCTATCAATAGAAACTTTCAGATGCAAATGATAGAAGGAAGCTTTATCTTATATTCTTGCATTTATGACTGTTAAATTAACAAAAATTTATATTCAGAACAGGGAACGAAGTTTTTAGACCTCTGTCAGAACTTAATTGGTATTCTCCAAGGTGGTTTTCGTACACAGTTTTATAAAGTTCTAACTTGCTTCCTTGGTCCATAAATCAAAGCTGAAATCGCTCTGGGATCAACTATTTTTCTTGGACGAGTTTGGTTTATTAATCACTGAAGTTTGGTGTAAATGTGAAAATCAATTGCTTACTACAATATTTAAGAGATTTAAACGTCAACTACTATTACTCTTTTGAACTCACTAAACCTTTAACGATCTTTAGTAATATTTTCTCAGTCGATAGACTTAAAAAAATGCAAGTTGTCAATTTACTTGTAAAGTTTTCATGATCATTATTACTCGCTCATTTGTGAAATCGTTTGCATATATTTTAACGAAATGCTTATTATTTTAATACGAAAACTATTTGAAAATGGTAAAAGTTAAACTATATAGATTTCACAAAACAATGAACTACGTTTTACTCTGCCGCAGAAACCCTAGTTTTCGTTCATACGCCAACAAATTTTTCTCTTAATATTATATTTGTAAAATAATTCGACATGTTATAACTTATTAGTCTAAATATGCCACAAAAAGTGATCATGCCATAGAATAAATTAATCATTAAAAAGCATACCATTCACTTTATTATATGAACACTATACTCTTAAATATTTTCACGTACTGACTTAACTACGTGTATTGACACATCAAAATCATAAAATCTGCAGTACAACTACAATTTGGGTCTTCCTTATTTGGCTTGTTCCATTAAGTGCTTCTTTGTGATATCAAACAAAGGATTTCCGCTACTCCCATTTGCACTATTTCAATGTCAAATCAACAAAATGTCGGTCGCTATGATTGAGATAATATAATCTACTAGCATTAAGATCATTCTTTTCTTTTCAATTGCTTATAGATCAAGTTATAACAAGCTTTTTACTGACCTGCGAACAAAGTTTTTATCGGATACCTATCGGTAAGAATTATTTACAAATACTTTTATCACCAAAATCTTGCTTGCTTTTCAAACTTTAAATAATATATGAACATACTATAAGTATACTTTATGTTTTCCAAATGATTTCTCGTAACACTGGTAGATATAAAGTTACAAGTTCGTAATGCTTGAAAGGTTTGGCTTTTAACTACAAAGTTAGTTGTTTATAATTTAATTAACTGCTTTCTAAGTTAGCGCTTCAATCAATAACAAAATCTATGGTCGATGCTACGTTTCCTCGGTTATAAACATTTGAAACAAGTGAAGTAGCAACTTGGTTTGTTTTAAAGCAAATTCATTTCTTATATTACTCGCAATATATTCTTGTTAATTTCATTAAAATATTAAACAGTAACTTATATCCTTAAATAAGAGATGTAAGCCATTATGTTAATAATTTTCTTTTCGTTTAAAATATATAAAATCTTGTTATGTTTCTTTATAGCATCAAGAATGTCTGATGCAGATTTCGTTTTCCAAGACAACATTGTATATTACACTAAACATGATTAACTCTGCCATATTATACTCCTTATTGAAATTTTAATCTTGACACTAGTAATTAAATTAAATTTAAATAAATACTTTTAAGTTCCGAAAGAAAAAAGAAAACGAAAAAATTTACTTAACAGTATAAACTTAAGTTTAAACATTATTATAAAATTGCCACAATTTCTTAATGTATAGGTCTACATTTGTTAAATAATATTATATCAATTAAAATTCCGATTTAAACTAACACGGTAGGTACAAGCAATATTTACCTTTAATACCTTAAAGTTGTATTGACATTTTCAGTTCTAACCAAGCGTAGTAATCTAATCACAACACATCAATAGGTGTAGAAATAAATATTTATATTACATAGTCTCTTTAGTTACATAATCGTTGGACATTATTATCCTACGTCCGTGAAATAACCATTATTTGAAAATACATTTATCTCATATAATCTGTTCTATTTGAATGTGACTTCCCACTTTCAATAAAGTTCAGAGAGAAGCGAATAGTGTTCTTAAAAGTAGATAAGAGTATCACACGATCGTGCCATCTATCGTATGTTTCAGTCATTAATACAAACGTTACATGTGTCCATGGAACAAGCTCTAACTTTTCAGAATAATTTATACTCTAACGTATTTACTATAGAGTATAATGTGTCACAACATTTTTCATTCGTTCATATAATGACTAATATATATTAATATTTAAATACACAATAAATTCATATATCGCTAAATAATTGTGGGTTTATCGTCACTAATGGTTGGATGTCAGGTTTCAGACCTCAATATTAGCTTATGCATAATTAAACTGAACCGAGCTCTGACTAAGCACTTTAAATCAATAATCACAATGAGTACATATAATCGTGCTTAGTTCGCATTGTTGAACTTTAACGAATAACTTGATTTCTAATATCAATGTCTATTTTAATAAAGTAATTAATCAATATTGTAATTTAATATTTTACTTTCATCGTCTTTCTACAGCTTAAACATATTTTAATTTGACACTAATTTGTGAATAGTTCTACATAAAATATACTTCAATGTTCCACTGCAAATATATTTAAGCAATTTTAAGTTTTAACCCATAATACTCTCACATTAGGAGTAACAAATTTCAAAGTCGTTTTCTTTCTAACAACTGAGAAGATATACGTTTATTTTTAACAGGTATTACACAAACGTTTGTCTTCAACCGCAGACAATAGTCGTTAGGATAGCAATTGTCACGACAAACAATGAACTTATAACTAAATACAATAAAATGTCTACAATTCTAACACTAGAATTCTTGTTAAAAATTTTAAATTAAAAAACAGAAAACTTAATTAACGCGATAATATTAAAATGTAGGTGAGAGTGTGAATATTTTTAATTAAATCACTCTACATTCGTTGTTTCTTGATAGAATTACGAAATACCGACTGAAACTAACTCGTGCAGCCAACGGTTATAGCGGTGTTAGTTGTATAAAATAAGTCTTTGCTAATTACATATTTTAACTTACGAATGACCGCTGAACATAAACATGTTAATATAAGTAAGGAAAATATCATGTGAAGTAAAAACTCTTTAGGTTTTATGGCATAATTTTTACATAAAAGAGATTAACTTACAAATTTTACGTTTATAACCCACATGTTCTCTGAAGCTCTGCCATGCCTTAACATATCTGGCTTCAAAGAATTTTATCTCCAAAAAAGATGCTATGCACCTGGTTATATATTTTTATCTTATTCGTTTAGCAAGATATTATACATTTTAAATCTTATGATAAGATGGTATACTTTTTAAATCTTTCTAGTTTAAATTTAATATAAAACTTACCTCCATGAAAATATTTTTTTTAATTCGAAACAAAAGTTTTCTTTTATCAATATAATGAAATGAAAGTCTGAAACATTTAGATAATTTGGTATTCCTTTTATTATGTAGTGAATTCTGTAACATTTACATCAAATTATTTATAATAATAGATCTAAATGCGTATTTAAAGACAGAGAGTATTAGTAAAGAATTTCTTTATTAACTAGTTACCAATATCTAAACCTCTCTTCAACAATGACATTTAATGAGATTTTTATAACAAGTAACCAAAAAAACATATAGTTCGTTTGCTACAAATTCTTATAAACATATGTTAATAAATTACCAACATCTTCTTCCAAGCTGTACGGTAAAATAAATTAAAAATATCATAAGTACCGCTCTCGTCGTATATTAAGAAATCTTAAAAAGTGTAGACCATAGTTAATTAAATCAACATATACATATGTAATACACTAGAAAAATACTCAAGTAAGCAACGTGAGTCGACTTAGAGACTAATTGCTGCTTCTTTTTAGTGCCCGTTTTTTTGTTGAATCTCATTGTAATGTACTCTTATAACATTTTTAATTAAACCGATTTTCTTTTATCTCAACTATCTTTTGCATTTACATTTTAAATTAAATTGTAAAGGTTGAAGGTGAGGACTTGTTTATTTGTAGATCAAGATATTGACCGGACTGTTTATGATTGAAAAATAATTAATATTATATGTGCTTCAAAGTAAAATTATTCTTTCAGGATTGATTAATAATATTACTGGGTTCAAATAGTTCTTATGTTCCTACTATAAAATAATTAATCTTCAGTATATAATATTAGAATAATCTTTCTCCAACATTTTTCATGCCTTTTATCTCACGATTATCCATTGATGTTAAGATTAGTCTCGGTCTTTTCTTCTACTTTGTTGGCATATCCTAATTTTCCCGTCTTTATACTCTAATATATATTGTTACAATACAACAGCCCCACAAAGCGTTTACGATAATCAATAAAAATTCTATACATATATGAATATAAATTTAATCACAAAATGTTTTGTTTCTCATTCGTTTTATGATTTCGTAAATTTGTTCAGACTAATTTGTCTACTCATATCGCTGCTGATCACTGACTAAGTGTCATCGATCCCACAAAATTGACATCCAAATGGAAATGTGTGTTATATTGCGTCAGGAACATATATTTAGCGTGTGACTCGAATATTCAAACGCAGTACAAGTCGAAGGTCAATTCCAACAATTCATCACTGAAAATATCGTACAGCTAATCAAGGCCTGATGTAACACCCACGCACGCGTTATTAGCCACAGGCAATTTTAGCCCTTATTATAAAAAGCCTGTTGATAAAATTTACATACGCAAATAAGGAAGTCAGTGACGTGGAGGTTTTTGGTATTATTATTGCTAAAACGAAGTGGAAACACTTATTGTTTACGTTAAAAATACGGGCTCCTTCGTGTTTTACTCTTTTGTTTGCGTTATATACAAAAGCTTGAATGTTGTTCATTTTTAAATTTACCTCGCATAATATTTGCGAGACTTTTTACTGCTTTTTCCTTCCGAAGTTTAGAAAGAAAAAGTATAGTTTCGAGAAACTCAAAGTAAAGAATTTGTTTCTAGACGCTGGAAATGACTTTAGTAATGCTTTAACAAGTGTGCAAGAACCTTAAATTATTCCAGGTAATATAAAGATTTTATATAAAATATCTTTTTCCGATTCTCAGAAACACTTTACTTCCGATAGTTTTATTCATCTAAGCTAATTATTTTCTGAAAGGAGTACTGGAAACTGGAGGGTTCATGATGTGCTTTAGATCTCCGGAGAGTGTTTTCCAAGAACGGAAATTCCATCAACTTTAATTCTAATTACTAGAATTTAAACAAAGCTGAAAAGAAACGAGAAGAAACGTGTCGAATAATATCGTGGTAGTTGCCGAACCTTCTTGATAAATTTGAACATTGATGAAAATTTTAACATTTGAACAACAAATGATGGTCGAGCATAGCTGTGGTCAAGTTAATACCACTCAAACATGGGCTAGCTCGATCGGGAGAGTACCACATGCTCATAGATGATCACTGTGAAGTAGTCTGTAATGGCTGCGTTTCGTCCGATAACTTTAAAAGCCGGTTGAACTTCCCTTTTCCCAACCTTTCCTTTTCCATTTCATCTGAACATCTCTTATATTGCCGATGTCCACGGGGGGGCGAGGTCTACCACCAATCAAGACGCCGTCTGGTTGTTTACTTCTTTAACATAATCAAAATATTGTTGATAAAGAAATGATTTGCGAATATATAACAAACGTAATACTATTTTAAAATTAATAGAAATAAAAATATAGAATTATAATACTATTGCTTAGTGTTGCTCTAAATGAAACCTAATATATTCTGCTTTGTTACAGATTACGTTATAGAAAAACAACGAGTGCCACCATATACCAAGTGTTCTTTACTAAAACTTTAAGATTAGGTGAGTATCTTTATAATTTTATTCTGAACGAAATATTCACGGTTTTATTATTTATAATAATATTATCATGCTAAGTCCTCTTGAAATAAAATCACAGTGTGATAGAGAATGAATAAATAATTTAACATGTAAACAATTTAATAGTTTATTAATTAATATAGGAAAAACTAATTTTCAGGCTGTTACTTAGCCGGCCAACTTACTACTATAAAAATTACCCTCCAAAGAGTAGTTTCATTTGACGTTGATGAATAGCTACTATCGCACGTTCGTGCGTGTTGACTGTGACATATAGAGGCCTCGACAAGGTCGAAGGTCAATGTTAACAAAACTTCAATTTCATGGAAACTACTTAGAACTCCAGAATTAACACCTAATTGTAACAGGAAGTAGGTTTTCAGTTGAAGTCGATTGTGTGTATTTAAAGTTTATTGTATATTTTTCTTAGATCCATATATGTAAGTCAATTTAACTTTATTTTTTTACTTTAACTGGTAACTAGTTAAACTGAATATGGTAGTTACCGTATATGTTAATACTTATTATGTAAATATTAAGTCACACTGGCTGATTGATTTAATTATTAATAAAAATACATATAACGAAATTACAAATTTTTATTCTTTGAAATAGTAATCTTTAAGGTAATTAGGTATATATATTATTTACTTCCTTATATAAAGAGTTTATTTTTCGTTCAAATATAAACTACGTATGTTTGGATACATTTAATCTTGAGTCGATACATTTTCTGGAGAAGAGATGAATAGAAGTAAGTTTTACTTACTTGCTCGTTTTATTATGTTATACGATCTTGTTAAAAAAACTGTCAAAAAGTTTCGAACTGCAAAACTAGTTTAAAACTTTTTCTGGTTTGGAAATGACCAAAAATCTGAATTTCTCAATGCTTTGGAATTTAAGAGAGTTAATAAATACTATTACAAAGATATTCCATAATCGTAATAATATTTTTTCCTAATAAAAAAATTTAATCTATATTTTATTTAAATCTGAGCATCATTCTAGGACATCAGGTATGTTTTTGGAAAATTGGTAGAATAAATTGTAAAGCTCTATTATATACCTATAATGATTTAAATGAAGTAATAAATCTAATTAGTACAAACACATCATTAAAACAATGATTGGTGATACTTTTAGCTCACTAAACCTTTCAAATTCAAATATCCATCTAAGATTATAACAATAATAACAAAAAAAAAATGGACACTTCAGGAATCTACACTAAATTAATGACCTTTAAGAAAGAGACTACTACTTCTTTACACTTTACTTCAGATTGAAGAATATACAAACATTCCAGATAAGGTGTAAATCAAATACTTTTAATCATATGTGCAATTAGTAGAAGTATAATTATTATACTATGTGATGGTAATCTGGCTTTTTGGTCTACTATACAATAAGAATTGAAAGCGTGATATTCATTTGTTGACAAATTCAAGACCAATATTATTTGCTCCAAGAAACAGACCTCAAAGTAAAATGGGAAAAGGAAAATTGTTACAAAAGATGACTAATGTTAAGACATTATACCTAAGTATTATTTATCATTCGTTATTGCGGAGAGGCAAATTCACGATTTTTTCCTCTCTTTTTGATAGTTTAAATTTCTTTATAATATTAATATAAATAAGATATGCGTCAGAAAATTATCATCAATTACAAAACAGTTCACAATAGCATACCGTTACTAATAGATGCAATCCAATATTTGTTTTCAAAACACCACAGGCTCTGAACAGTATTAATTAATACTCTCTACACTTAACGTTGGATTTACATAATCAAATTAAATAAATATTTGTTAAATTATAATACCAATTAATTATGTATAATGAATGTCTTTAATTATTAAATCTTAGTATAAAGATGTTTCAAGATGTATTACAATAATTTCAATAGAAATCATATAAAGTTGACACTAAGTACGTCTAGATATTTTTATAACAAAACATGTTTTCTATAACTTAATGTGTGTAATATAATTGTTATTGAGCTCTGTCTGTGTATTTAAAATATTTATTATAATTATGTACTATTATTAACAAAAGTTTATTACTGAAAAACCAGACAAGGATAATAAATATATTCGTAATAAATAATCAAAAACTAATAATACAATTCAATAAATTTAATGCTTTTCATTGAATTCTACATAACGCTATTGTTGTTATAGTTATGACAGATTCACATTTGTTACTCAAAAACCGGAATCACTCAACAGTTGTCAATAGAACCTGTCAACGAGGTTGCTTGGTCATAAAATATCAATATAATAAAAGTAAAGTTAATTTTATAGGTTAAGTAATTTTTACAAGAAGAAAGAAAAAACAATATACTTACAGGTAAAAATAGATCATGAAATATATAAGCAATAGGCGGAACATTTGGTAATTAAAGAATAGAAGAGGTCTGGATTATATGTATATATATATATATATATATATATATATATATATATATATATATATATATATATATATATATATATATATATAAAAATCATCATAATTATATATTTTGTTATTACAAATTACAAACATGAGTATGAGTGTCGAGTTATACAAAAAGTATTTGGTTCATAATAAATATACTATAAAAATATTCTACGTAGCCTAATCCAAAACATAAACCAAAAAGATGAACCGTATCTTACATTATTGTATAATATCGTATTAATTCAGCCATTGTGTTTGTTTTCGGATAGACTTATATTGATCGGGAACAGAACATGGGTTGAAAATTCAATATCCGGACTTGACTTTCTCTATAACTAAATATTTTATGAATATATTTGAAAGGAAAAGGTATTACTGAGATAAATGAAACGAAAATGTATATAAATTATTTAAACTGGATTACGTTGTGTATAGAAAAAATAAGAATACACCGTTATAAAAATGTTTTTTATCATGCGAAATGAAACCTTATTAATTGTTAAATAGATTAACAATTTAATTGACATTTTTTCCATAGTAACAATCTCGGTTTATTGCTTCAAATTTAATCCAAGGTTGCTTATTAGTATAACGCGTCGTTAAATTACACTCCAGTTTGTGTAAGTGCTGTTAGCGCACTCTCTTAGCTCTTAAGTTGCATACACAGTTCTATAAAAATCTAACCTCCATTTGATGAAATCTAAATGCATAAAAATAGCCCTTCTTGACTTTTTTGCTAACTCCTAAACTTTACCAGATTGCATTCATTTGCATTGCACAGTTTTAAACAGTTTTGTTTTTTTCTTTTTATTTCGTGTATTTATGGCTTTATAATTGGTTTTGGTATACGTATAGAATACCCCCATATAAAAAACGTTAAAATCGAATTTTGAAAATATATAAATATATTTTATAAGCATTTTCTTGTTGACATTTATAATTCCAAGTAAGAAGAGGAAAAAGAAACATTCATATCATAAATTGCAAGAACAAAGTCCCTGTCGAGTGTTGTCCCAGCGCTTGGTATAATGTTAAAAGCATACTATTCTACTTAACCTACGCTGGGAAGGGAATACTGAGCCTTTGACATTTATCTTGTTATTGAAACATGTTATGAAAGGTACAGATGAGAACTGGAATCTATAATGTGGGTTTAGTTTAATGAAAACATTGTAAATGTTCTATACATATATACTACTAAAACAGAATAAAATTTAACGATCAGCTAAAATAAATAAATAATTATATATCATAAATAATCAAAAGTAAGACGCTGGCAAATCTTTCATTGTTTCTAGGATTTTTTTGTATTTTCTATAAACTTACACGTCTTGCAACGAAATATCTGGAAAGTAAAGGGCAACAAAAGACCCTTAAGGGATTTTTTTGTCACAACTCGGATTTCACATGCTATTGAACATTTTTAGATCGTAGTAATAAATGTATCTTAACGTTAAAGGATACTTTTCTTTATACATATAAAATCAAACTTATGGGTGTCAGGAAACATTTGTAGAAATTACACTGAAATTAAATTCCTGAGTAATAATTACGTGTGTAATGGCAATAAGAAATGTTTAAATTGTTATACGTATGTAGTATAGAAGTTACAATGTTAGAATCTGCGGAAACATAAATTAGCTTTACAAGCTTGCGGTCTGGGCTTCTGGAATGTCATTAAGGTTGTGGTTCTGAAGATGCAAAGCTTTGTATTTTGTGGAGTGATTACAAAGGTACCCTGCGTCATACTCTCTTGGATGCAATAACTTAAGAAACGATACTGTAGAGAGGAACGGTTTTATTAAATAATTTAAGCAAATCTACGAAATTACTTTTAAACTTTCATACATTTAAAAGATGCTCTACTTTATTAAATTAATAATTTAGTAGTGAATTTAAGGAAAACAATTATTTTACATTTAGATTCTCTCACTTTAAGACAGTTGAAATTTGTCACTTAAATAATAAAGTATTAACAGTAAGTGACTTGATGGTTTTTAACTATCTTCAGTGAAATCATGCGATAGAATTTTTGCCAGTAGGATTACTTGCTATTTATATTAGTAAACCGTGTGCCGTGTTGCAATTATAAAAAAGACTATTACGAGTAGTCGGAAAAGTTAATATTATATATCCCTTCACAGGGCTAAGCTTAGTAGTGTCCCATTGTGGGATAAAACCACCGACATCAACAATATTTTTATTTCCCAGAAAAGAGCCGAGTTGTAAAATAAATTTGTTGTCCCTTGACAAGATTACCTTAATTTATTAATTTTTAATCGTTAAAATATTTTATATGTCCTTGGAAAGAGCACTCTTGTTGCTATTGTCAGCTGGGACTTTTTCTCTTACAGAATTCAAATATTAACATTCTGGCGAAAATTGACGAGTTAGAAGATTTAATAATAAAATATATAGATATAATATTTGTTTCAGATTGTGTGATACGTGTGCGAGCAGTTCGGGCAGGTCGTGTTCACTCCGGTTACCTCCCAAGGAGTCACGGCTGCAAACTGCTCTTCCCCTTACCCTCTCCAAAAAACGCTCTTTTAGTCGAGCTACACAAGCTAAATGTACCATGTTCCAGTGGTTACTTAAGATTTGCTCCCGGTTTTCCACCAGTATGTGGAAAGCTGGAACAGATAGCAATACCGAACAGAAGACATTTATACCAATCCTCGAGCAAGCCGGAAATTGAAATCCATGGTCGACCCACGTTCGCCGCGACTTATCGTGTTGTAGATCGTTGTCATGATGTTCTTCTAACTGAAAGAAACGGCTCGTTCGAAGTCGGCCCAACATTCAAACTATTTTGCTCTTATAAAATACACTTGCCTTATGGAAACCGAGTTGCCTTACGCCTCCAAATGGGAACTGGTCCAATGGTCAAAAAGAATGCAGACAATTTTAATATTATTCATGAAGACGGTCATAGCTTTTGCAAAGGTATGGAATTGAACCTAGTAGATGGTGATTCTAGATGGAAACATTGCTCACAGCCCGGGGATCCGTTGCGAAGTGTACAGATAATTTCTGAAAGAAATTCCGTCAGGCTTAATATAAGTATTTTAGCAAAGAAAAATTCTTCAGCAATGTGGTTAAAAGTATGGTGGATGGATAAACCTATAGAGGAAGTCATAGGACAATGTGATTTTGGTTGGGTCGTGTCCGGAGATTTTTGTGTTACCTCTGTGAGAGAAACAAAAAGCTCGTGGCGACAAGCTGAGCTCGAGTGTGTTCGACTCGGCGGTCATCTTGCAAGCATCCTTAATGAACGTCAGCAACAAATTATGGACCAACTACTTATTCACACGTAAGTAACTAACAACTAGTTATTTGGTACAGTATATCATCATTATAATTATGGTATCGTTAGCCTATCAAAACTCACTGCTAAGTAAAGGCCTCTTGAAGAGGCCCTCTTCTCACATGCAAAAGGTTTGAGCATTAATCACCACATTTGCCCAAGATGGGTTGGCGATTTCAAACTTATAATTTGTAATAATAGGTCCAGGTTTCCTCACGATGTTTTCCTTCGCTGTCGACATATACATAGATCAGTAGTATTGAAATTAACATTTGAAAATAAATTCTCCCAAACTTGTTATCTAGATTTAAAAAAATATTTAGTCTAGACTCTAGATTAAGTCGTTTTAGATGAATAGATTTTAACAAAAGGGAGTTGATTTAAATTTATATTTTTAAACCTGGTCACGTTCAGTCTAGGCGGTACGTTAACGAGGGTAAAAACGCGTAAACTTGAAACGTCGCCTCACTGCATCGCTATGGGATACATGCGTCATTCATGTATTGTTCGTTCAACAGACCAGGAGCCGGCGTGGATGACGTCTATTGGATAGGTGCCACCGACTCCGTCCACGAAGGAGAATTCCGCTGGTCGGATGGACTACCCTTTTCATATGCACGTAAGTTATACACTATTCATAGCTATTTATATGTATAAATACATATACATATATATAGATTTCATACTCCTAATAGTATTGTATGTATATGAAATACAAAATATAAGGAATAATTGAAATCATAAAAATTATTGAATAAATTATATCCAGCTTTCCAAGTTGTTTTGAAAACATATTTATTTATGAATTCGGGCCTTGTGTTTTGTTACAAACGCCGTAATAACGATACATAGCAAGTTCAAGAAGGCGCAATTAGGTAAATTGGTCACATGTTATCACACAAAAGCCCAGTCTAGACGTAACGGCGTCGCCACAATCAGTATTTACTGCCAGATCTTTTTATAATGCCAAGCTTATAACACATTTACAGCTTATTATTAAAACATTTAGAAGATTTTTATATATATATATATCGACTGTTTTTCGAATACTTATAACATCTTAGTGTGATTATATAAATAAAAAATTTAATGTTCAATGACTTTATAGTCCTTGAATGCAGTGATCATGCTAACTATGTTCGTCATATTTCTTATAACGTGGTTGTATAAAGCAATGATAGGTATATTTAAATTAAACTAATATTTTTCGGATATATAACGCATGCTTTATTTTTGTAAAAAACTACATATTCCCGACGTTTCGACGACTTTTTAGCAACCGTGATGATCGTCGGCAGTTTATTTTTAAAAATATTACTTTCATTTAAATGAATAAAACTCGTGAAAGTCTTAGATCTCATTAAATTATTGGTATATATACCAACTTTTGAACCTTTGGTAACAGATACACTGCAGCGTAAGATTTAGTTTTAAACCTTTTTATACGCTATATTTTGGAATTATTAAACTAGATGACATCATTTCATTTATAAGCTTTTATGAAAACGGTTTTGAAAAGAGCAGACATAATTTTCTCGTCGATTTCTTCTCTATAGAATCGTTTTCTGGTCCGGTGATAAATTTAATCCGTAACCAATGTTCTGTTAGATATTTTAAAACTTTTAAAACATTGTTTCCACATATGCGAAGAACATAATTATCTTACTCCTATAGTTTTCTTGAAAACAATAATGAGGTTTCCGTCAGCTGCACAAGTATCCTGTACATACAAAATCAATAATGTATTTGCAACATGTTGCAGATGTCTATTCAGTTGACAGAGACTAATTACAGTTAATATAAGCATTAACAGGAAGATTTCCTTCTCTTTCTTTATAAGCCGTTAAGAAAATAACAACTATTTGGTTAAAAAATGACTTTTAAGTGGTAAAACATTTAAACCTCACGCTTGCGGCACTTAACGTGTGGCTTCACTCTATCTATCTTAGAATCGTCCAATAGCCAAAGTGGTTTTATCCTAAACAAATTGTTTACATCTAAGACGACCATATTACTTACTAACGCCACCTGAGCCGATACTTACATGGCTTAAATGTCTTAGGCTTAATGGACCTGAATTTGAGGCTTCGGAAAGTAATTATCCCCAACATTCATTTATAAGCAAAAGAATCAATGGATAAGTATAGTTATATAACCTATATAATATATTCTCCAATATATTTTTCTCTCCAAGTCCTATCCGAACAAATATTCAAATCAAATTTTACTCATGAACTTAGTCTTAAAAATCTCATCGTAAGTTGTAACAACGCACACAGTTATTTTATAAATGTGTATGGGAAATAAATAAAATTGTTACCCAATAGAAACGTGAATTAATAATAAATTAATTTCCCAAATTTACAATAATATATTTTCTTTAATGTTACAAAGTAAAGTGTACAGCAAGACGTTATTCTTACAGTGTGTATTGAAACTACTTTTTACTACATTTACAGTCGAAGGCCGTTCTATATCGATAAGTAAATAATTGATGAATGTTAGAAATACATATATAAACCTTTACTTTTCTTGACCTTTAATACAAAATATATCCATTAAATTTCAATTGGCATTCTTTCCAACCTTAAATATGTTTTCAATAAATATTTAAATTGAAATTATAACTAAATAGTTTACCATAAGTACAAGTTTAATATTACTATTTGCAAATATTTCCTTAGATTTATCGTATATCTATGTAGATAAACAGATGACTATCTAACTAATCATTTACTTTTAATTATTTAAAAATATTAAAGTAACTGTCTAAATCTATTTAAAAATCTGTAACAGATATTCAGGCTAAATATTTTTTTCTATATTTCAAGTTTGATTCCTATTATTGGTTTTCTCGCGGTCTCAAAACTTTGTCAGAATCAGTTATTCTTGACTTGTATGATTTGTTTCTGACGCCTCAACACAAAACTTAGGTTGAACGTAATCTCATTCCAAATAGTTACTTTAGATGAATACTGTAAGTAGCTTACTAGTTTATCTTATAACTTGCGTTTAGATTTGTATCATGTTAAACCAAAATCGCAAGTTAACTGAAAAATATACGAGTAAGTAAATTATAATGTTAAAAAACATTTGTCGTTTGCTCTGTTATTTTACTAGCACAGATTTAGCTTTTTATTTTGTCATTTTTAAAGTATATATTATCATGTACTATAATATTTATTAAATAATTATTTATGACCAATTTGTTAACACACTTTCTAATAGTTAAAAAGACCGTTATATTCAACCGTTTCTTAACCTCTGTTTCAACCCTCATCCACTTAATTGTTGAGATGAAATAACTCATACTAGCTTTTGCCGCGGCTTCGTCTGCGTGGAATTGTGACTTCCGGCAGATTTTTGGTTCTTCCCACATAGTTCCCGTTCTTGCGGGGTTTTCGGAATGGTGGAGTTCCCGTAGAATTTTCAGGATAAAACCTATGTTTTTTTTTAAATTCACAATGAAGTAATCTTAACCAACAACATATTTATTTGTTTATTTGAATAAAGATTTATATTATTATGTTCATACAACTTAAACAAATTATTTCGACCAAATAAGGTACCATAAAAACGGTTTTTGTGAGTTAATCTTAAAAGATAGACATATACTATCGCGGACTGTTTTTTAGATAATTAAAAGAGCTATTAGTCTTTAACACATATTTTTTGTGTATCTTGAACCGTTTTCACGGCGCACGCAACGGAAGGCTTCAAAGATGAAATATTTTCTCCCGTTTTTTACACATTTAAAACTATATATTTGCTCCTATTGGTCGTAGCGTAATGTTATATAACCTACAGCCTTCCTCGATAACTGGACTATCCAACACAAAAATAATTATTCAATTCGAACCAGTAGTTTCGGAGATTAGCGCTTTCAAACAAACAAACAAACAAACAAACTCTTCAGCTTTATAGTATTAGTGTAGATGTATTTCATATTGAATTTACTTATTTCTAAACTGTTTTAATACGTTAGCCCTATGAACCTTGCTAATAACCTTTCCAGTGAAATATCACGTAACTAAAAGGCTTTTAAGAAACCGTATAAAACCAGCTAAAATTATATTCCAAATAATAATTCTATCTAATAAACATCTCAATCTAGATTACACATTATTAAATTGGAATGACAGAGTCGTAATTATAGTTTCTTTATGTATCAAATATCTTATTATACAGCTTATAATAAAATATGGCTCCATTAAAAGTTATTTATATGTACATAATAAATGTCAAAAATACAAAAGAAATTACTTGAAAACCATTATATTATGTACATTGTATTTTTTCTTTCATCTCCTTTTCAATACTGTGTAGTAAATTTAATATAGAATGTCATGGCCTAAAATAATAAAATATTTCTGTACGAACACTCCAATTTTCCGATGAAAGCAAAATATTATAAATCAGCAATAAATCGCTTAACAAAAATGCCAAACTAATGTCAAAGCCTGCCGGAGATCGGGTCAGATCAATATTGATATATATTGACCTACAGACGTACATAATTTGCCAACAAAATATGATTATTAATTTAATTATTTTTCTATGAAAGATAGGTTTATTCAATAAAGAATACTATTTTTAAGTCCGTGTCGTATATCTTATATAAAATTAAATTAATCTTTGACATTCGATGCTGTAAGTACCCATCCAAAACCAATTAAGTTTTTAAGTCGCTTAGTAAGTGCCGCTCTTTAATTACTTAGCGCGTAGTTAACATTATATTGACTAAATACATACTCTTTGTTAATTAAAGCTATAATTCTTTTTACACCTCACCTATTTTATAAACTAAACAAAATAAATTAATACAGTCGAATATAACTAGTAAGACCTCCTTAATTATTACACTCAGACCAATAAAGGTGTTAAAAGTTATTTAATAATCCTATTCTCATAAATATATAACTATATTTCTTTCCTACGGCATACAAAGAAAAGATAGGAAATATATAACTATATCTCTTTATGAATCTTCTATATATATAAAAATGGATTGCTGTTCCTTAGTCTCGCTAAAACTCGAGAACAGCTGAACGGATTTATCTTAACTTAGTCTTGAAATGTTCGTGGAGGTCCAGGAAAGGTATAAAAGCTGAAAAAAATTGATTCATTACTGGGAAAACCATAAAAACAGCTTTTTTCTATTTCCCATACAAACGTTTTTTTTTGACATTAGATTTGACAACTAACTAATATGTCAATAATTCTGTCGCACTTCAAAACACGGAGATTTATGGCTTACAGGTAAACTGTAAAAATATAAGTAAAAAGACGTAATAGATATTTCTTGATTATAGGGCGATACGAAGTTCGCCAGGTCTTCTAGTATAAGAATAAATACGAACATGCTATGTATAATATTAAAAACCAAAGAACACATTCAAATCATTCATTCCTGCTTTTGTAATCAGTCTGTATGATTACAAGAGAAAGCAACTTAAAAAATAAAATACTCTAGTGTCATTTCTCGGAGTTTTTGTATACAAAAAAATATGATTAATTTATGAATCTGTAGTCTCAAACTGACATAATTTAATCTTATACCAGACTGGTTTCCCGGTTGGCGTAAACACGCCGGCCAACCAAACGACGATGGAACTTCAGGGCAGGACTGTGTGGAGGCTCGACGAGAACTACCCCCGAGACCAGCTCATCCAACCTTCATGTGGAACGACAGAAGCTGCAGGGAGAGGAACTACTACGTCTGCGAGAGACCTGGCGTTGAAGGTGAGGACATATTCTCGAGAAAAAATAAAAAAATAACTTCAATAGATATATCCTGTATAGCAATAAAACTAATATTTTTCAGATTTACTTATTGTTTATTGTTATTTTAACTATATCAGACGAGATGAGATTCTCATCTTCTCTGAACATTATGACGGTTACTATAAAATAATCGAAACGTCGGGAGTATGTAGTTAATATAATTATAAACACTTGCTAAATCTTAAGAATATTAGTTTAATTTCAATGCAAATCACGAAAGTTTTAGATCTCTTTATCTCCTTTGTAGTTTTAGAAAACAGATTTCGTAATATGCTTGATTACATAAAAGTAAGTTTTTTCATAAAAATTTGTATTTAGGAAGTCAAAATGGTCTGAGATATACTTGCTTATTACCAAAATAATATTTTTTATACTTATTGCGAAGTTACAGTCGATAATGTTTTGTTTCAAAAATATTTCAAATATAATACGAAGAACCAAAAAGAAGATTCAATTTATTTAATTCAAGGCACGATAGCTCAAATGGCAACGCAATTGGATCATTCCAGATGTTGTAACGTGAAATCCTGATATTACTTCATGTATTACAGTAATAACCATAAACATTACTATAGCCATATGAAATTTAATTACAATAATAATAAAGAAAAGATTAGCACTTGCAAAGACAATATACATCTCAAGTACCAATTTGATTTTCATGCAAAAAAATCATATATACCACTTTAAAGTCCCGCTTCATACTAAACACTCATTATAATTTTATGTGCTTTGCAAACACAAGCCCCATGAATGAATATTCATTTACCACGTTCTAGCATCATTATAAAAATGTGAATAAAAGAATCTTTAAGATAAAAGCTTGCTTCTAAATGTTTTAATGCGGAATTCCGTACATACGCTGTTATTTGAATATAATATTTGGAAATTTGCTCAGACTTAAAGTTTCGTTGTTTCAGTAAGCCAATGACCGAGCTCTGGGAAGTTTGGTTATAAAAAAAAACAAATGTTCTCTCTTTGCATAAGTTTTAATACTTACATTGTTCGGTTCGAGTTTTCAAAGAAATGCTTCTTGAAAATAATTTTCTGCAAAAAATGTTAAACATTGTTTTGTTTGTCAGTTTGGTAAAACTTTTTTATACGACGTTTTATATATACCGATAAAGTTTAATTTTCTATATATATATATTAATTAAAACCCATTTAGTAAGTATGAGAAAAATATTTTAGAATTTAAGATAGTTGTTTAAAATTTTGATTTTCAGACGTACTCTTGTATTTTGTGTTTAGCTTTCTTGAAGTACTCACAGTATGTTTTATCTATGGCCAGGAACGTTCCGTTCTTCAGAATCTAATAGAATGGACGCTCTGGAAAATGTGAACTAAGTTACACTGAGATGAGATAAATGCTACTTCTCCGGGCGACCGCATTAACGAGAAACATCTTACATTGCCAACACGTACCATCCGTACCAAACACCTATATCCCACTACATACAATTTTGAATCCTAATTTAAAACCATATGAATTATTTCACATCGCACATGTAAAAGCAAAACCAATAAATATTTGTATACCGTTGTAAGAGCGGTCCTAAGTGGGGTTAATAAGGTTTAAAATTGTCTAATCGACCGAATCTACGATATCTTTATTGACCCCTCGTTGCGCTGAGCTGTTATGTCCCAAAATTTATTACGTTAGCAAGTGACTTATTTTCCACAAATTGTTGTAGAACATCTCGACGCCACAACATTTGGATTTATGAGCTGTAAAAATGTAACAAAATATATCATTCCTTGTCAATAACCGTTGATTGAGCACAATTGTGTTAAAGTGAGAACAGCGGGACGTGATGTGAAATTAAACCATTTCTGTAATATAAATTCGTACTACAACAAAACAAACAATCGCTTCCCGTAGTACGCCTACCTATAAATTTTATTGCTACAACAAAAAATGCATACAAATCTAGTTCATGTTTTTCTTCTACACAACACTTTGCATGTACTACCTTACTTTCCCACAATTTAAATTATTTCAAATAATTAAATTCTTTACACAAAACAAACATAAACTCCGTCATAAAAATATACATTTCGACTAACAATAGAATGTACTTTAGATGAAAAAAACAAAATATATTACCACGTGTTATTTGTATTTGTATTAACGGTCAAATATGTTCATTTAGCCGACATGTAAATTTCGTTCTCAATTCACAGAGCTGTTTATATTTGGATAAATCGAGTTTGCCGAGAAACTTCAAACACATTATTTGTATAAATAATCCGCATTCTGAATATCTGTCTTTATTTACTTTCACGCCTTCAAAAGGCTTTAAATAATATTCAATATTTGCGTTGGCATTTTAATAATTTTATACCCACAAATAATATATACAATTATACAATTATATTGTTTCAAGAAATTTTAACAGAAGTGATAAATGTCGAATAATTTGTAAAATAAACTAGAATATAATAAGGTAAATGCTTTTTACCCTAATAGGTAGTGGTTTAGAGGTTAAAGGCCCGCCTCTCACGCATGAGGGCGCGGGTTCGAAACCTGGCAAGTGCTCATGAGATTTTTTCGATTCATATGTACTTTCTAAGAGTACTTAGACAACAACGACAGACGGTGAAGGAAAAGAGGAATCCTGGACGTATAGTCCAGGATTCCTCACGATTTGAAATTATAAAGTTTGAAATCGCCAAATCACATAGAGTAAGCGGGGTGATTAATGCTCTAACCTTCGCCATGTGAGAAGAGGCCTTTGCTCAGCAGTGGGCTCCGATAGGCTGATGATGATGATTATGAAAGATCTAATTACTATTTAAACAAACTCTAATATTATGAGAAGTATCCGAATACAACTTCAAATTACATGTCAATACCATGTACACAGTTTGACATCCAATCTTATAATAACTGTCACTTCACACACATTCATAAAGATTGAAGCTTTATTATATAAAAGTTCCCAAGATGCTATCTGATAGGAGACATTTTTTTTATCTTGATGATAAAGAAACATGCTTATTAGCTTAAAGACCACTCGTTTTAATTTTTGGCACTTCTAATATTGGAAGTGCAAATACCTTCGTTCAATTATGATTTTATCGATAAATATCACTTGTTAATACTTATTTGTATTTACAATTTGAGCTAAGTACTCGACAATTAAATGACGGTGCAATATAAGCTCAATTCAAAATCAAGTTTCTTAAATAGATGCTCATAATAAATGTTAAAATTATTACACTTATTTATAGAATTTTAAGGTAAGATTCACATATGAAGCAATATACATGTTTATCAAGCGAAGCTGGCAACTTTCAAAGCCGTCCCTTTATCTCTCTACAGTTAGATAATAAGATCTAAGACTTTCACGAATATTCATTTAAATGAAACTAATATTTTTCTGATTACACAACGCGTATTTTATTATTTATAAAAACCACATACTCCGCGACGTTTCGGTTACTTTACAGGAACCGTGATCACGGACAGACGAGATCAATATAGTTTATCTTCTTCTACCTAGCAATTTCCCAGCTTTTAGCCAGGGTCTGTCTTACACGTTGTGAATAGTTTTGGCTAATTGTTTTTTACGACCGGCTGCCTGCCTGACATCAACCTTCTTTGGGAATGCATTAATCAGTGGTGTCTAAATACTCTCAGAAAGTACGTATGATTCGGAAAAATCTCATTCGTACTTGTCAGGCGGGCCTTTTAACTACTAGATCACCACTAACTTTTCCCTATCCCTAGATCCCTATAGTAATATAAGAAAGTATAAAACATTATAATATCCCGTTTTTCTCTTTATTACTTGGTTACCCTTATGACCCAGTTAGACAAAACGTAACGCATTCAACACGACACAGCCTTCCACCGGTGAAAAGCTCGTTATATATTTATGTACTGGATTGATATGCATTTAGATTGCTCTCTACGATACTGCCAGATTTAATATTATAACAAATAATAACCATATTTACATTAACGAATAATGGAATGGTATTGAAGTGAATTGTACTCAAATAATATATATATATTTATTAATGTACCAAACATAAAAAATAGTTATTATTATATATAGAGTATTATTAAAGAGATCTCTACCAGAAACCCTTTTGATAGAGGGAATGAGAAGAGGAATGTGGCATAGGTACAATAAAATGAGAGAAGGAAAAAAGAAAAAAGAGGTATATAGATAGATATAAGAATAAAAACCAAATTATAATAGTATAAAATACAGATATTATACATACATAAATATATACATAAATATATACAAATAAATACAATATATACATAAATATACAACATATACATAAATATACAGGGTGACTGGTGAATTACTATCGATACTTGAGGACGTGATATTTGACGATCATATATGACAAAATAAATATTAATAAACTTCTAAGTAAAGTTAACCAAAAGTTATGTAATTAATTACGCATCGTGTGAACACCCTACAGATTAGGTATACACACACACACACACACACACACACACGCGTGCGGCGGCGTGGTGTTGTATCAGCACGCCGCCACACGCGTCCACACTTGGAACACTTGGAACGTGTCCACACTTTATGATATTATGGAAAGACATTTCATATTAAATTATCACAAGTACAATTTGAATCGTCAGTAATAAAAAATATATACAATTTGCAAACTTAAAGAACAGCTCAAATTTTTTGTAATTCTTTATTCATTTGCAATAAATTTTCATAATTAACGAGATTTACACAAAAATTAATACTTAATTATGTATATTCTGCACACTGTATATAATTCTGATTATCATAATATGCTTTACAGCAATTTGAACTGCATACAGAATAAGAAGCTATTGCATCAACACCAACCGTCATGACACGTGGAAACAATGGGTTTCAACCCTAATTTGTCATGTTAATGGCAAATTCGTGTTTCATAATTATGACTTTTACATTCACGACCTGCTATCTCGTTTGACACAC